AACATTGGATTACATTGTACTTGTATGTGAAAGACTCACCTAACTGTTCAGTTCCCTTAAATGTTATAGAGCTTTATGGCATATTTTAAGTTATCGTTGCCACAGTAGGAAGCTGCCTTGAGAGAAAAAGGTCTTGTGAATTTAAACTTGGTTTCATAAGGGGACAGTTGGAACTAAGCGGAGATATGCGTTCTACTGAATGATAAAGGTTCTCCATGTAGTTTCACTTGATTGTTTGTTTTTGTATGGACATGGAGGAGAGACTAAAAACGTCTCGCACTGTGGCCCCAGTCCTCATCTCTGCCAGTTGAGGGAAACTGATCTCCGTCCTTTATTCATTCATTCATGACAAACCTCTCAAATTACACACTCACGGTTCCACTCGCAGTCTCTCCTCCTTCTCTTTCTCCCGTTTGAAACTTCATCTCAAACATAAATTCAGTGCTCATCTTTAAAAAAACACAGAATTAACATTCCAGAGAGGAAATTGTGTGCAGGTGCAGGATCAGCATCTCATTAACTGAACACTGCAGGTTTTTTTTACGTCTTTAAATGGTGGCCTGCAGAGGGCTGGGATCACAGCATGTTGTGAGGGAACCCAGAGCATCACTACAAGATGCCAGATTTCTAAATCTATTTTAATCCTAATCCCATCAGTAGAGTTTACTCTGCTCTCTGGTCCCCACATGACCTTTGAAATTAAAATCTGGAGCTTGTAATTTCACAACTCGCCCAAGATGACTGGAAGCAGAGGGAAATATCTTCTTATCTCGCCGTAGCTACATGATAGAATGTCGTTGCTGTCTCTCAGCGCCAAAATGAGTTTGAAATGGTTTGTGGCATACACAGTTTTTTTTGCCCTTAAGCTCGTAGTAAAACAACCAAAGGGCAAAGAAAATAAGAAGATATAAATTCTTTTTAATCCCTCTTTTATTGTGTGCTTCTACTGTATGATGTAGGAAAGGGATGAGATTTATATCTCCATGAGGGTTCATCAGTGTTTCTGAATCAACAAGGTGAGAACAATGAAAATTTAGATTCCACAACCTAAAAAGCTTGATCACAGCAAAACCTTGGTGAGACTCTCAATGATGTGTTTTTCATCGTTGACAGCACAAATTGAAGTCTTGTGTGGAGGAATGTTCATGTTGAGACACTGGATATCACCAGTGTTTGCGTGTGTGTGAGCGAAAGGCTAACCTGGCCACTCATGAGTCTCTCTTGTAAAATAGATGAGCTCAGTACGACCGTGTTATTCTAGCCATGCAGGAGAAGAAAGAGGGATGGAGGGATGGAGAGAAAGGAACAACACATGAATAATTGAGCCCAAATCAGTTTAGTGACCGTCCGTCCCTTCCTACTCTCAGTCTAATGAAGTCAGTGCCGGCAACTGGATTCTCTAACAAACGTCTGCAGTGCTGAAAAAGAAATACGTGACCTCGGCCATCTAAGGGGAAACATTTTTTGTGGCGAAAAACTCTGGATCATCTCTTCCACATTTTTGGGATTGAAGAGGTTGTTAGACTCAGGATCATCATGATACCATGGTGGCCCAACTGCTAGGGCTGGCCTTTCTGTTTCTACCTGTCAGCTTAGTCACCTGTGCAACTAATGGTAAGGGTTTCACAGTGTCTTTGGATTCATTTGAACTTTTGGATTCATTTCATCCAGTAAATAACTGGTTCTATAACATGATTTGATTGGCTTCAGTAGAATATGTTGTAGTTCTGTTGTACGTATTAAAGATTTGAAGTAGCTGACAGTATTGCACTTGATAGGCTTGGAGGCTGGTCTTGATATTTGAAACTGTAGTTTCGGAACAATTTATCCTCCAATATTTTTTTTGTATATGATACTGATACCTACATATTGGACTAAAACTGACAGCTTTTTCAGAGGTGTCCAATTCTGAGCAAATTTCAGTTAAACAGAAGAAGAAAAAAGAATTGTGGCATTTATTGTTGATGAGTTGTTTGTGATGTAATCACTAACAGTGGAACATTGCCTTCAAAGTCAATGTCATTATTTTTCGTGATTGTTTTAAGCGAACTTAAAAGCACTTTTTACTTACTTACATCCATAAATATTGAATATTGTGACATTTCTTTCAACTATATCACCCAAACCTATTCCTGCTGACCGCTTGGTGTTATGGTAACAGAGAAAAAAAAACATCTATGAAAGCAAAAGGTGGTTTAAAGAGTGAACATATCTGGAAAACATTATTGGACTAATCCCTTATTAAACTATTAGAGTGGGTCTGAAACTTGCAGTGTAATCAACCCTGTAATTGAACACCGGCAGGGCACATGACACGACCATCTCCTTTTCCTTCACTCACACACACACGCATTTTTTTGCATGATCGTGTGCCTCCTCTTTCTCCTCCAGTGCAGATCAAGTCCAACTGGGAGGTGGTGTATGAGGACACCAGTGTGTATGGCGTGGTGGGAAAAGCGGTAATCCTGGAGTGTGGCACCACCTTACCTGACATGTACATATGGAGCTTCACCAAGCCGGGCACTGAAGCTATTAAAGCTGTGGTGTACGATTTGGGCAAAGGAACCAGGATCCAGCAGCTGGCCATGACTCTCGGACAGTTGACGGTCATCTCAAACAGTGCAGCTGTGAGCATCGAGAAACTGCCAGTGGCTGCACATGGCCTGTTCACCTGCCAAGCCTTCTATGATATAGAACAGGAGCCCAAAGTAGTATATCACTATGTGCACCTCACTGTCAGAGGTAAGACTTCACTTCGTCAGACAGGAGTGTAGCTGGGAGGGAATACTCAACTCTTTAGCCCCAACATCACTAATAATTAGCTATTCCATCTTTTATCAACATCTGCATGGATCCAAATCTAAAGCTCAACCAAACCAGGTGGACAAAACCAACATATCTTAGATTTTACTGAGCTGCAATATATATATAAAAGACACAAAGATTAAAATCAGTGGCCAATCGTTACCTGGCCTTCTATACCCAATACTACATAATATCATACATATATATATAAATGTCCAAACTAAATTGCAATTGTCTAAACACAAGTTTAACTGACTATTTCTTACGTCTGCCATTTGTCGGCCATTTTGGATTTTTACAAACAACTACATCCTTGTGTAACAAAACCAAAACAACCTTGAATCAAAAGTGTAAAGATTCAGGACAGATAAAAAAAAAAAAAACTTTGTTCCTCTGTCAGCTTGTGGTCCAACAGGCTACAGGTGTAAAGGTAACATTTAACATGACATGTCTGGATTCACAGCTACATCCATACACAATACAAATACATTTCCTGGAATATATAAATCTAATCACACCTCCATCTTTTGTGTCTTTGTCGTGAATTCAGTTCCGGTCAGTAAGCCTTCCCTCCTGATAAGTGATTTGTCTCCAGTGGAAGGATCGACCATTTGGATTCGCTGCAATCTGGAAAACGGGACTGGACCAATACAGTATGTGTGGCAACATGAAACCCGCACCGGCAACATATCCACCTTTGCAGAAGGAAACACCAGCGTGATCAACATGACCGATGTCAACCGAAACCACACCGGCTGGTTCCAATGTGTGGCCAGCAACGCCGTCAACAGCGAGAGGTCTAACAAGCTATGGCTAGAGACCATTTGTGAGTATTCTGTGGATGGTTTGGGGTTTGCTTGCTTCACAAAATACCTGTAGTCTAAACTTTTAAAGACACTGCACGTGCTCATTAGTAATATTATAAGCCACCAAGCAAGATTTTTTGTCTAATGTAAGAGGCAGATATTTTTCTAGGAGTAGGTGAAGACCAAAAACAAAGCTAAAAGAAA